TCACTAATATCTAGTATTTCTTGTATATATATATATATATATATAGGTATATATATATATATAGGTATATATATATAGGTATATATATATATAGGTATATATATATATATATATATATATATATATATATATATATATATATATATATATATATATATATGTATATATATATATATATGTATATATATATATATATATATATATATATATATATATATATATATATATATATATATACAGGGAGGTGAATCGTTGAACGGGCCATAGGAAACTCAATGAAAAATTCTAAATTGTTGAATTCCTGCTTCCCTAATTATTTTACACCAAAAGTCATGGGAAACTATTTGTAGAGGACTCAAATATGTATCGAAAACAATTGTTAAAATTGTTCTACGACTTAAACGTATTCCAAAATTTTGCTAAAATATAATACATTTTTCAGGCCTCCCCTAACAGTCAGGCCAGACGCCGTGAAAAAATGTGTATTACGTGTTGCGTTTTATCTTATTGACGATTCTAATATTTGACAATATTTAAATCAACTATATTATATTTATCTATGATTTAAATGGCCAAAATTTTGTGATTTATTATTTAAAAGAAAAATTAAGTTGATTAATAAATGTACTCAGTTAAGGAGAAAAGAGCAATAATAAAAATGTTTTATTCATGTTTTATTATAACATTTGTTATAGTTTTATGTTTAGAAATTATCATATATTACTATTAGGAATAAAGATCACAGTAACAGTATATTGGAATTCATTAAATTGTTGTATAACTTAACATGGAATTAAATTTTAGTGTATTAGAATATCTTACGTTAAATAAAGATCCGGTAGCGACAGGAAAAGGTACGCGCTATTGCCTGAATACAAAATTATGCAATTTTTCATCAAATGAGTACATTTCATTATATTGATCGATTTGTAAATAATATAATTTATTGTTCACAAAGTAATATTGTTCAGTAGTAGTAGTATTTAGTAAAATTTATTGTTTATAATATAAAATAAAAAAATTGACAATTCAAATTGTCAAATATCTGACCTCAATATGATAAAACACACACGTTATATATTCTTGTATTACGTGTGGCCTAACTTTTAGGGGTGGTCTTAAAAATTTATTATATTTTGCTAAATTTTGAAGTACATTTTATTCGTAGAACGGTTTTAACATTTGTTTTTAATTCAGATTTTAGTCCTCTACAAATAGTTTTTTATGACTTTTGATCTAAAATAATTAGGGAAGCAGCAATTCAACAATTATAATTTCCCATTGATTTTCCTATGGCCCGTTTGACGATTCACCACCCGGTATATATATATATATATATATATATATATATATATATATATATATATATATATATATATATATATATATATATATATATATATATGAAGGTAAACGATATCGACATAGCTCGCATCAAAGGAAAAAAAATAAAAAAAATATAATAAAATATTTGTAAAAGATGGAAGGCAACCGTATATACGTATTTCTGACTATTGGTCGTCTTCAGTACGGTGCAGCCAAGTTAGAAAAAGAGCATATTAACTTGAGAAAAGATCAATACAGGAGCAATGCGACCAATTTGTGGCAATAATGTTAGAAGACTCTCAGGTTTCCAGAGCAACAACCAACACATCCACGGAGGAAGCTAAGCTACCTATGGAAAGGAATGCCAAACCTTTAGAACGCTTCAAACAACAAGAAAAAGGTTGATGCGAGTTGATAGCAAAATAAAGGTAAAACCTTTATTTTACTATCAACTCGCATCAACTGCAAATGATTATCTAATATTGTTATTGAATATAATTTATATAGGGTGTAGATTTAGAGATCAACTAATGGAATTTCGAGGACGAAAACAATTTTTTAATCAAGCTAATAGGCTAAATTTTATCATATCAATATACTGAGCTATATTTAACATATATGTGGATTATTTTGTAATGACTGTGAAATTTCTTTCTACGAGTCCATTAAGCCTATTGGCGAAATAATAGAACTATATGAAATTTACAGGCGAGAGAATCTGATAGCATTTAAGAAATCATTTAAATATTTTTCTAAAAATACGAAGCTTTCCATTGACGACTCACCAATCTAGTATTTCTAATTGTGCTTGGTAAAGAGAGATGTCTTCAATAATGTCCATAAGTTTAGTTTCTATATTTTCGATAAGTCGTTGTTAAAGGTTTCCTCGTCTAGTTTCAATTTTTTTATAGTACAGTTAAAAGATTTTATGACTGAATGGGTAACAGATATTTGAATTCTTAAGAGTTTTTGAATTTGGGCTTCACAATTATTTATCCTATTTATTAAAGTATTTGCCATCGGAGGCGTCAATATTTCCGTCAATAGATTGTTTATATTGTTTCAATACCATTAATTAAACCGCTTTTTACGCGTTTATTATAAGATACTGTATCAGATATTATTTTTTTATATTTCAATTTAACGGAATTTGAAATTTGTTTTAACAGACTGACATGTGTCTGTACCTAGTTTGTTGGATCGGGTAGTTTTGCTGAGGAACAATTTCTTGTAAACCAGTAAGGTCCATTTGTCGTTAGACATCACTAGGGTTTCCTTTTTAATGAAAAAATATTCCAATTGTATTGTCAATAGGGGTTAGGAGTGAGATAAATAATTAAGGACTGGGCGATTGAAAAGAGTCCATAAGATCTGCAAAAGAAAATTGTTCAAAATAAGGTGTTGGTCTGTCAAAATAATTACTTGTCGAGTTTGGTTAGTTTTTGAATTTAAGATAATTGCGGAATTTGTAAAGAGTGCTTGAATTTTGAAAGGTCCGTTAAAAACATTGGTCGATTTTGATCAAATTTGGTTTGTCGTTTACATAAAGTTTGTCACCGATTTTAAAATCAGGTCTTAGTGCTAAATTATTTTCGTCAAATTTTATTTTCGCCTGTTGTTTCCATCTGTCTGTCTTTGTTCTGGTTACTTTGTAAAAGTATTTCTTGCTTAGGTCTCTAAAGTATTTAGTCATTAGTGTTTTTTGATTGCATAGAGTTTTTGGTGGCCGTCATGCAGAATGTCCAAATATAAGTTCGTATGGTATAAAACCATTGGTCTTATTTCTCCTCTCGTTATAGCATATTATTGCATACGTGAGTAGGGTGAAGGGATGATCTTTGGAATTTTCATTTTGATTTGCTCTAATCATTTCTGATTAACACTAGAAAATGTTAGTTTTATGTCGTATAGTTCGCATAGATCTTTGACGATAGCGTTCTCGACCGCAGTCACAATGAATTCTTAGTGGTGTTTCATAATGCTGTTAAAACAGTAGGAGTGTATTACCTACTATTCCTGCTTTATTGTCGTCTAAGTGATAGACTAGTGTGAATTGTTAATTCGTCACGAATAGTTACAGCATAGTTTCTAGTGTGGATGGTCAATTTAAGTTTTTTCTGCAAACCTTAACCTTTTAGCAAATTTCACATGCTTTGATAAATTTTTCGATATCTTTTGTTGGGTTCTTTCAATTGTATTTCTCCTTTATTCTTCTGACAGTTTCGTTTATTCCTCGGTGTACATTGTTTTTGCCACAATGGTAATGATCTAGAATTTGAGGGATTTTGTCTTCGCTGGCTGTTTGAATTATATTTTGACAGATTCTTCATTTTAATTCTTTGTAAACAAAAATATAGGAAAATATCTCTAGATCTCGAGATTATTTTCGACACAATAAATTTTTGAGTCGTCGAATTGATCTTTATTTACAAAAAGTATGAGAAACAGGTCTGATATTACTTTATCTACTAAATACGTATTTTGATGTTACAATTTTAGAATATTCGATTATAGATTTGGTTTTATACAATTCGATAAACTTTTTAAGTTCTTCGGATATCTGTTCTATATTTCCTTCATTATCGTCTTCTTCTGTCTTCGTTTCGTCTTTATTCGATGCAATAACGATATTTTTGATTCAAAGTTTGCACAATCCTTGAACTGGTCAATCTTTATTCTTGCGAGTGCATATGCATTACTGTTTATTTTTTCTAAACGTTGTTCTATTTTATAATTGTATTCTTCGAGTTTTAGGCGCCAAGAATATATAAGAATTGGGTCTGATATTAAAGTATTTTTGAGGTCATTAAAGGCTTCTTTGCATTCAGAATTAAAAATAAAAGATCCGTCATTTTTAAGTAGTTTGCTAAGTGGTTTCGAAATTTTGGCAAAATTTCGAATAAATCTTCGGTAGTATCCGGCTAAGCCTAGGAATGATTTTATTTATTGTTTTTTGGTTCCGGGAAGTTCTTTATTTTAGTAGAGTTTATTTTTACTCCATTTTCTGTTATAAGGTGTCCCAAATATGCAAGTTCTTTCTTTAAAATTACACATTTATCTGGCTGAATTTTTAAATTTGCTTTTCGTAACCTTTTAAATACTTCTACCAATCGTGACATATGGTCATGAATAGTGGGTGAATAGATTATAATGTCATCCATATATACTAAGCATCTTTCGTTTTAGATTTCTAAGAGGATGAGATCCATTACTTGTTGGAAAGTAGATCGGGCATTCATTAATCCGAATGGTATGCAAACAAATTCGTAATGTCCATTTTCAATGGAAAATGCTGTTGTCTGGATGTGTTTTGGGCCAATTTCAGTCTGATGAAATCCACACGCTAAATCTAGGGTTGTGAAATATTGTCATTTTCCTAATTGGTCCAACAGTTCTGAAATTTGTGGTAGTATATACTACCACATGGATGATTAAGGGGAAGTAGATGGCTAAATTATTCTGGACTTTTATGTGTACTTTTAGCATGTTCTTCCCTACTCTATCAATATCAATGGAATCTTTGGAATTGCTTTTGGAATTTTTGTGCAAAATGTGACTAGAGGAAATGAAAGAAATTAAGATTAGAGCTACATTTTAACAGCTAGACTAGAAGATAGTCACGCTACGAAACTGTGTTTGCGTTTACACTCGATCAAATAAAAACAATATTTTTTGTAAAAACTTTATTAACAATTACAAAAATAGTTACCGTAACTGTAACGTCAATTCTTGTTTTTACTTGAAAACAGCAACATTTGTTCTATGATAAATTGTCTTATAGAAATTGAAATACTCTGTTGAAATGCATCAAAATAACAAATTATTTTGGGCTAACTTAGGTCTTTGATATAAAAGTTTTTTATTTTTTAAGGCTGGCTGTTTATATGCCAAAAATTAGCTCACATTTTACAACCATATTTCTTTTATAGTATTTTGATCCATAAAAGTTTTCATAATTATAAAAGTATTAAAAGCATATTATTGACATATGAGCATGTTATCGACTTATTTTATTTTATCAACAAGCTCAGGAAAGTATTACTAGAAACACCAACATTAGCTTCTCTAATCACAGCCTTATAGAATTTATATGAAGTAACAACATCCAAAATTAAGAATGGAAATAAACTATTACAAAGATCCCTTGCCAATAAAGGTCTACATCAATGATGCTGTATTTTGCCAACCTTGTTAAGGATGTATGTTGCGAAGGTTGAAACAATAGAAGGTACGGGTGTAAACTTTGGGAGAGATCTGTTTATATACCTTGCAGTTTACTGATGACCGGGACATCATAGCGAATGATAAAGATGATAGGGAATGTATGGCAAAGAAACTTCAAAAGTAATATAGAAATTGGGGGGGTTGGAAATTATTACCTCAACAACAATGTGTCCGCTAATAGGAACCGGGATGACGAACATCACATTCGAAGATAATGACATAATTGTGTCCTGTGACCACTACATGTATCTTGGAGTGGTTTTCGACTCTAGAGGGAAAGATGATCAAGAAATAAAAAGAATATTAATTCTACAGTTCAAAACGACTGTTAGAAATTTATTTACTTGCTGTTGAACCTGTTACACAGTTAAACCATTTTCCCAGGGTGTCAGGTTTTGTCAGTTATTTTTTAGTTTTCTCTTCTCGTCCAAAAAGAAGGGGACAAATAGGTTTTCTGTAACATTTTAGGCTCGAGAACGGAGATACAATCTTTGGGTGACATATGATTCTTCTAAAATTATTTTCTTGTAGCATTTCTATGTTATCTACTATATGTAATCAGTTACTCTTATTTCGTAAAAACGTGCATCGGTTACAGTTGTAAAAAATCTCTGACAGTATTGGCACTTACACAGTATATTTTGTTGCATTTTGTAAATTAATAAGACTTATAATATAGCTTCCCAGTGAGAGTACCAACGACATCTTAATTTCGCAAGCCTTGTGTTTAATTTGCTTCTTATGCTAGCTAGAATTGGAATAATAAAACTGATAGCTTGTAGCAGGAGTACTTTTTGTAAAATATTTGTAATATAACATACACATCTCCTTGTATAATTTTTTTTTAAATACCAAAAACCCCATATTATATTTGGTAATAAAATTAAATTAATCGCCTTCAGTTTATATTTGTTTGGCTTGTTGGGTTTTAGGTTTCAAGATGCGTAATTATCATTCCTAATTGATAATTACATTTGATTTCTGATTGTAAACTATTTGAAATCCCATTGCAATGCGGCGAGGTATCTAATATTAATCTAGTTTAGAAACACTTGTGATGTAGACGAATTGGACGGCCTGCTGAGATCAAGAAGTATTATTGCCATAGCCTATGCACAAACATGTGTAGGCACTGATAATATATCAACAAAAACATTTTCAATAAAAAATGCGCATTATTAGGCATAAAGTTAGTTGATCTATAAAATTCAACCAATCAATTACTTAATGGATCAATAAAAAGAGATCTCCACTTTTTAGTTTAAACAATAAATAGTTCTAAAATTAGCTATACTAGTTCTAAAATTCTAAAAAAGTGGTGTAAATATGTGGTATTGAAAATCTTAAAAAAAAAACACAATTATCTCTATGTGTTCATCTAATTATAAAAAGGTTGTGTTCATTTTTCCTTAAAATTTTTTTACAAATTTAACATTTGTATACACTGGTTTTTGCGTGCCATTTTAGAGCTGAAATACGTGACAGGTTTCTGGTGAACACAAAATTATATCCAGTTGATTAAAATGTTTATTGATCCACTTTAATCGTTTAACTAAGCTTAATTAACAAGAACGAGTATTAGACGACGTGGTTTTTGTTGACGAATGATGTGCATATAGCTTTTGTACCATAATGATTTAGGACTAGTTTAATATCAAATTTGTCCTATATGAACTATGATGAAAATTAAATTAAGAATATTGAGTGATTAGGAATATGTCAACATACATTGCTGTTATTCTACTGTTAATTCTTTTTTCTTTTAATCCGTTAATGACATACAAAGGCTTTTATTAAAACTACAAATCTTGCTGTTTCGGTGACAATTTTAATAAATAATTTATAAAACAATTTAATAAATTAAAAAACAACTACGGTTTGACAAAAAATCAGTAATAAAAACAATTATCGAAAATGTATAAGGCACATACTAAATTTGATTTATCAAAAAATATAAATTGTTGCGACGAATAAACCCAGTTGCTTTAAAGCTAAAATACTCAACATAAAGCTCTGTGCAACTGAATCTATTTATGTACAAGGGTGCGCAGCGTAAACTACAAAAATTAAATCATTGCAGAAATATAATTTAATTAGGAAAAATTAGGAGAGCTGTAGATGTGTTCAAATAAACAAAGTTCAAATCGATCAAAACTTACTGATAAACATTTCCGCGTCTTCATTTTTTTTTTAAAGAATATATTTAAATTAATGTCTTGAAAAAACAAAACCCTTTTCGATTTATCTAAAGAACTTGTGGTCTATATCTTTCTTTCTCCTATAAGGATTTCATTGCCATATTTATTATATAGTATATTATACAACAGAACTTTACAGTTACTTTCACTCAAAATAAAAGTCTAGAGAAAATACTGACGCTCGAATACTTGAGAATAATTGAGGATGGGAAGATAGAGGTAAAAACAGCAAACAAAGAAAAAAACAAATGCATATAATTTCATTTAAAAAGGAAAAAGGAGCAACAGATGAAACAATTGTCGAAAGAATTAAAAGAGATAGAGAGAAAGATATAAAAATAAGAACTGTACTTTAAATGATTCCGAGGGTTATACAAAGTTTATAGAAATAAGTTTTATTTGTAATTTCCTGGAAATCATTGGTTACATGTCTTAACTTTAGGTTTGTGACTATTTCAATATCGGTGTTCATGCACACCTTCCACATCTGTTGTGTCATATAATTACTTCTCGGGTAAAAAGTAGGAATAAATGATGTGCTATTTTTATCCAAAAGTGTAGGATTTTGAAATATGGAAGAAGTGGCTGAATGGCCAGATTTGAATCCAGATTCTTTCTTTAATAAGTCACGTTGACTAGAGTGTTAGAAGATAAATAATTGGCCTACAGGATTCAACGTTGGTGAGACGGACCCTTGTTTGGGAATCATGCACCTGCTTGCTATTTTCCAAGAAGTAGAAAAAGCTAAGCTTGGGGATAGCACAGACTGTTTCTGTGATTAGTAAGAATATATATTCTATTAATATCGGAAGCTATTTTTGCCGAACGTACACAGCTCCTTATTGGTGTATTCATTAGTAGGAGCAGTGATCGGAGAATCAAAGTGTTCTGCACAATGAATAGGATGACCGAGTATATTCTAGGCTTTGGCTTCGAATATGGATTTAAATTGCAGATCAAAGTTTGGCTTATTCGAAAAACTGAGTATGGACTGAGGTCGATAAGGTTAATTGGGATCTGGTTAGAACGAATATAATGTCACTCTACACATATTAGTTATTGGGCAAAAGGTATTTGTAGAACGCATTTTTTAAGATATGTAATATATAAGAAAGACGATTGATGTATTGAAAAACCTCTGATACACGGAAATTATCAATAACGAGAAACAAAATTAAATACCTAAATAATGATTTCCATCCATAACTATAAGTACAACGTTTTGATAAAAAATGATATTTCTGCAATGGTAAATTTGAAAGAAAATCTACCTAGATTAATCAAACTTATGTGTCATCAATGGAAATCTAATGATCATTAACTGTTTTCCATAATCGCACAACACTGCGTCTCTCAGTAACACTAGTTGATTTATAAAGACGAACGGGCCCCTTCCTAACGTTATTGTCCTAACACAATCTCCCGTCCGAACATCCCAAATGATCAAACCTCCGCTTCTGGCTGTCACTACCAAATGTTGTGCTAACATCAAAACTTGGCTGGAAAATGTTTGGGAAACATGAATGGTATTGAGCAAGTGACCTTGGAAACGTTCCCATACACAAAGCCGTTCGTCCGTACCCAGAGATATTACGTAGCTCTCTGAGTATGTCAACGAAGTTATACTTCCATCATGAGCTTGAATGCTGTACATACAGGCGCCTGAAAAAAAACCAAAATTTAAAACACAGAAATTTACTATAAATGTCATTTTGTCAGATAAGTTATATGATTACATTTATATTTTTGTCCTAATCAAGTAATTGTGTAAAGAGTCAATGGATGTAATCCTACCTTATGATAAGTTGTAAATGGAAATTAAACAAAGATTTGAAAATACATAATTTTATTGAAGGGTTATTACATTAACAGAATTAAACTTAAGAGAAAAGGAAGAAAAACTCAAGAGTTAGCTCTCCTTAGGCTCTATAATTAGGGATTAGGTTTTATAAGAGCCACCATCATTGCTTCACTACTGTGCATACATTGATCCGCTTCAGTTTGAAAACCATTATGATATATTACTTACACAGTGCAACATTGCAAAAAATCTCTGCTGAGAGATATATTCTCGTACCACTACTGAATATTCCTACAGTTTTCTAGCAGCAATTGCTTGTAGCGGATCTCCCACTTCTTGTTCTGGAGTAGGTCTATATTTCCTGTTCCTTTCTTTTCGTACATTTTAATACATTTTCAGGGGTCTACTGGCTCCTAGACATCTCTGTAAATTTTCACATTCTCCCTCCCGAAGTTCGTTTTTCTTTTTGACACGATTCTTTTGGTTTCTATGTTCAGTGATACATAGGTTTTTCTGTCTTCTAGATCTTGTGCTCTTAACAAGTCATATATGTAGTTTTCTTTCAATTTGCTGTTTATTTTATCTCATATCTGATCCATTAGGGACTTTCTGCTTTTATCCAAATGTCCCAAAGTCTCCCTTGCTACTTGGTGTATGCATTTTTTCAGTTACTGGTAGTACTTCACCTACAGTTCCTAGCTTTGCCACTAGTCTTATCTTGTAGAGAAATTGTGTAGTTTTATCTCTTAAGCTATCGATATTATATTGTAGCGCTTTAGGTTGGTATTCGGCAAAATTTAATCGCCAGAGATGGGCAAATAAAAGGGGAGACTTCGAGAGGCGAATGGGTTTCAGGCTGGATGAAAGCATCGTGGTAAACAAAATGATGAGAAGAGAGAAAGAATGGAGAGAGCCAAGAACCGGTAAGTACCAAAATTATTTTGTGACCACACAATTCGTTCTTTTAATTTCTTTTGGTAATGGGCAGTTCTTCAACAATTTTTTTCTGATTTATGGAGATATGATTATGAGAATTTGTAAGTTTTTCTTAATATAATATTCTTCTTTTACGATCATGGTTAATATAGGAATTTTAGTAGTTTAGCTTTATGTGGCTGACTCACGTAGTCAATAATTTATTGCAGTTTCTTCTTTGGTTGTCCATGTATATTTTAGGATTTATTGGTGCTGGAAAAATCTATTCACGACTTGTAGGTCTAAGCTTTGGCCCCTGTCTAAGAGTCGTTCACCATTGTTCCCCTTTCTTCCCCATATTTCTACGCTAAGGGATTGCTTTCTTTTCTTTCGACTTTGGCGTAAAAGTCTCCAAGTATGCATATTTCTTTGTTCTGATTTATATTTAAAAGGACGTCTCTTACTTTTTCGTAAAATTCATATTTTGTGTGCGCATTAGAGTCTTCACTAGGTGCCTATGCTCCTAGTGAAATGCTCATTTTTTTCATTTCTGTAAATATATATGTCTATATGATATGCTCGTCTTTTTCTTCTCGGCTTTCAATCTTTTTTTCAGAGTCTCTTGTGGACAGCAATGGAAACTCCTCTTTTTATACATGTACTTACTTATTACCTCATTCCTCCTTCCTTTACTTTTAGTTTCTGTGAAGATACACATATCTATATTGTGCCGATTCAGTTCTTGGAAGACCTCTGTTTGCTTGGTTCGTAAATATAAAAAAGAACAGTCCGATATAAAACAGGAAAAAATTTCTGAGAGAAATTGTAAGTTAACGTTAATAATGAAGAGGATAATAATTTAGCCATAGCGTTTTTTACAATTGCTGACTACCACTTTCTGCCTTCCAGTGTGCCCTTTAAAATTAGCTATCAACGACTGTAGCTATACAAATTGATCGACTACGATGCCATTTTTGATTTCTTATAGACGAATTTGATTATTGTTTGACTTTTGACTAATTATGATTATAGACGGAATTAAGATGGAAAAATATTACTATATTAAAAATAAAATTATATATCCTTTAACATTGCTATCGACACGAATACTACACAATAGTTAGAGTAAAAAACGGCACGTGTCACTTAGGGAGAGCCAACAGAAGTGAATACTTCTTATCGCGCGTTATTACTATACGTGGGTTAAGGACATTTTATGTCTGCTTATAACTGAATTGTTAATATTTTTCTTAAGTTCTTTGAAATTACAAACAAACCTTAATTTCTTATTTAAAAATTTTGTTTAATAAATGTAGTAATTTTCAAAATTTGTTGAATATAATAAAGATTTTATTCATCGTATGTAACAATAAAACACTGAAAACTTTGTTTTCAAACTTCCACAAAATTTATTTTAACTCTTATCACTACAGCTGTTTTGGCTGATTGTCTTTCTCAAGTGATCTATTTTTGGCTTGGGTTTACAAATTTATAGTCTCTAATGAAATAGGTTGAGAGGGGAGAACTGTTTGTCTCAAGTTGGTCATTCAGAATTATATCTGTGTTTTTTAATTTGTTGATTTCCATAGATTCTAACAAAGATAGCTTAAGGCCTTTATTTTGAATGTGAAGAATTTTAAATTTGTCATTAAAAGAATGATTATGATCTAGAAGGTGAAGTGCGTCTGTCGAATCTGTTTTTCTATTATTGAAATCCCTTTTATGTTGTGCTATTCGTATATTAAAGTTTCGACCAGTTTGGCCGATGTAAGTTTTTGGGCAGTCGCCACATTGAAGTTTGTACACACCACTATTTAAGTGTTTTTTATTTTGGCTCTTGTTATTTTTAATATATTTGCCTAAGGTTGTTATTTGTTCGGAAAGCTGGTGTTATTCCTTTCTTTTTTATGTGTATGGCAATTTTTGTTGTTATTTTGCCTGTATATGTAATCGAGCAGAAGGTACTGGGTTTTTTCTCTGGTGGTGGAAATACTAATTTCAGGGCTTTCTTGTGTAGTTTTTGATTTAACATTTTATTAATTGTTTGTTCGTTGTATCCGTTGTTTGATGCTATTTGCTTAATTATATTTAATTCTGTCTCAAAGTTGTATTTTGACATCGGAATTTCTGTTAATCTATGTAACATACTATGATAAGCTGCCCGTTTATGTTGTGTTGGATGGGATGATGAATTGTGTATAGTCGTGTCAGTATGGGTAGGTTTATGAAATATGGAGAAGTCATGTTTGTTTTGAAGTCTGCTAATTTTTGAATCTAAAAAATTTATGGATTCATTTTGTTCTGTTTCTATTGTAAATTCAATATGACTATGAAGTGAATTAATACACGATAAAAATTGGTCGAGTTGTCTGTTAGTTCCTGTGAAACATACCAGTACGTCGTCTACGTATCTCCACCAATATAAAAACTGTTTGAATATGGGATGTTTTGAAATCTTTGTCTTTAGATGATCCATAAAAATATCTGATAGCAATGGGCTCAGAGGATTACCCATTATAAGTCCTGCACTGTTATTTGTATATATTGTATTATTAAATTCAAAGTAGTCCTGGTTTATGAAAACTTCAAGAAGATGTAAAACTAACATAACTAACATAACATAGTCATATTGAATTTACAATAGAAACAGAACAAAATGAATCCATAAATTTTTTAGATATAAAAATTAGCAGACTTCAAAACAAACATGACTTCTCCATATTTCATAAACCTACCCATACTGACACGACTACACACAATTCATCATCCCATCCAACACATCATAAACTGGCAGCTTATCATAGTATGTTACATAGAGTAATAGAAATTCCGATGTCAAAATACAACTTTGAGACAGAATTAAATATAATTAAGCAAATAGCAGTAAACAACGGATACAACGAACAAACAATTAATAAAATGTTAAATCAAAAACTACACAAGAAAGCCCTGAAATTAGTATTTCCACCACCAGAGAAAAAACCCAGTACCTTCTGCTCGATTACATATACAGGCAAAATAACAACAAAAATTGCCAAACACATAAAAAAGAAAGGAATAACACCAGCTTTCCGAACAAATTACAACCTAGGCAAATATATTAAAAATAACAAGAGCCAAAATAAAAAACACTTAAATAGTGGTGTGTACAAACTTCAATGTGGCGACTGCCCAAAAACTTACATCGGTCAAACTGGTAGAAACTTTAATAAACTAATAGCAGAACATAAAAAGGCTTCCAATAATAGAAAAACAGATTCGACATACGCACTTCACCTTCTAGATCATAATCATTCTTTTAATGACAAATTTAAAATTCTTCACATTCAAAATAAAGGCCTTAAGCTATCTTTGTTAGAATCTATGGAAATCAACAAATTAAAAAACACAGATATAATTCTGAATGACCAACTTGAGACAAACAGTTCTCCCCTCCTCAACCTATTTCATTAGAGACTATAAATTTGTAAACCCAAGCCAAAAATAGATCACTTGAGAAAGGCAATCAGCCGAAACAGCTGTAGTGATAAGAGTTAAAATAAATTTTGTGGAAGTTTGAAAACAAAGTTTTCAGTGTTTTATTGTTACATAAAATAAATTTCCATCAAGTAACGTCGAATTCATCATTTATTTTATTCATCAGTTACATTTTCATTATTATCTTGTATTTATCTTTAATTAGGTATTTAATTTGGATTATTATTAAATTTCATTATATTGTATTAAAAAAAAAACAAAAATCGGTTGTGACACAGGGTGTGGCAATTTAATTGTTTATTTTATTTTATTCTATTCTATTTTATTTTATTTTTTCTTGAATATAAATGTTAAAAAAAAAAATGACTTTTGTTAAACCTTATTATATTTATATATATGCGATGGAGGATTCAATCAAGTGTCATCTATAGGCACTAATTAAATTTTTAAAACATAAACTAACATAAAGCTTTAAATTCCTTTACTTAATAAATCTGATCTTAAAATTACAGCAACCCATATTTTTGGAAATTTTGCGAAAAAAAAATCATATTAATTATCTTAATATGTAATTAATATTACTAGTATTATTAATTAAACATATCGTTTCAAGAACAAAATATGATTTACTCAGAGGGTTTAAATATCAGTTGGTAGTTCAGATTTCTTTCCTAGGTTGCGCTAGGAGTTATCGTACCGGACAAACAGCGTTTCCGTGTGACGTGTCATCCTATCCTTTTATTAGGTTAGATAAGTGTATAAATGTATGTATGGTATGTATATTAGTGTATACCGCAAGATTAATGGCGTCCCGATTTTTCAAATCATGCTAAATATAATTTGGGGCCTGTGGAAAAACATCATACTGAGCGATAAGAAGTATTAACTACAAAAATCGTAAAATCAGTATTTTAAGTAATTTAATTTGCATTTACCTGTCAATAAATCCCAAACACACAACATCCCATCTTGTGAACCACTACCCGATGTTGCTGGATTCACTCTGTCAATAAATAAACACGTGATTGGTCCACAATGACCATGCAATGTGTACACTGGACTACCATCTTCTAACCTAAGAACTTTTAGCGTGTGATCTTGACTACCAGTCAATATTCTCCCTCCTTCGCAGTCTAGGCATGTGATAGGCTGCTGATGTGCTTTTGAAGAATGGATTTTAATAACACGCAAATCTTCTTCGTTATTCCCCTGCAAAATATAATATTTACGTAAACCATTTTATAACATGTTTACATACAGGAGCAGTATTTTATTAAATCTAATATAATTAAAAGACTTCAGAAAGACTTAAAAAAGGGGCAGTTTCGCTCGAACTTTCGTATAGTGCGAACCGGTGTGTGAGTGTGTCTCGTATTCAATCGAATTTATTTAGTTTTTAATCAGGTTTACGTTAATTTTAAATTATTAGTTTAGCATCGTACTGTAAGTATTAATATTTCCTATATTTTTTTGATAAAAACTTAACGCTGGGATGTCCCACGGTAAAAATTGTGTGTATGGTAAATACCCACCACTACAGGATCCAGGGGATACCGACAAGTTAAATAACACAGGCCGACGAAAAATTTTTTTGTGAAAACTTTTTTTACTTTAATAGCTGATTTTTATTGATTTTTATGTGCTGAATCCAAATCTGGCCTTAGTTTTTTTGTATCACCCATAGTTTTTCTGCAATTTGGGTTTTTATGTAGTATACATTTTTATGTAGTTTCTTATGTAGTATAAATACGGTATATGGTGAAATTAATGAAACACTATGTTACATCATAATCATGAATATATTATTACAATAGGTTACTTGAAACAGTTATACATATGATATAATACAGGTTCCATTAGTCATCTGGGATTGGTTTGTATTTTCTTTCCCTCTTTTCTTTGAAACTTCTTGTGTAGCTTTTTCTACGATGAGTCGCCTGCTGAACTTCTTTGTGAAGTGACCAACAGTAGTCCCCCATCATGTTAGTGTTCCAGCGGCCCTGATAGCGTTTTTCCATCAGTTTAATGTCCTGGTGAAAACGCTCTCCTTGCTCCTCACTTACATCGCCCAAGTTTTCCGGGAAGTAATCAAGATGACTGTTCAGGAAGTGAACTTTCAGGCTCATCAAATATCCTAACTTTTTAAAGTTCTTTAACATGTTAGCAACAATAGCAACATATTCTGGATCTTTTTTATTCCCCAAGAACTTAGTAACCACTTGCTTGAATGACACCCATGCTTCTTTCTCATTTGAGGTCATTGTCGATTCAAAGTTAAGGTCTAACATCATTTTTCTAATGTCTGGTCCGACAAAGACGCCTTCTTTCAGTTTAGCTTCTGAGAGGTGTGGAAACTTTAGGCAGAGATACATAAAACATGGCCCATCTTTAGGCAAAGCCTTCACAAACTGTTTCATGAGGCCTAACTTTATGTGAAGAGGTGGTAGGAGCACTTTTTTTGGATCTACGAGGTTTTTGCGAAGAATGTTCTTTTCACCTGGTTTTAAAGATTCCCTAGCAGGCCAGTTCTTTTTGCACCAATGTTGATCTCTAGCCCTACTGTTCCATTCACACAAGAAACATGGAAACTTGGTAAAACCACCTTGTTGACCAAGTAGCATACATGTTACTTTTAAATCACCACATATCATCCAACCATGATCACAATAGCCTATTTTATTCAGCACTATTTCTAGGTTTTCATAGCTTTCTTTCATGTGTACAGAATGACCAACAGGTATAGATGCGTACTGGTTTCCATTGTGTAATAAAACAGCCTTTAAACTTCTTTTGGATGAGTCAATGAACAGCCTCCAGTCTTCCTTTTTGTACTCAACACCAAATTCATTCATCAGACCTGGAATGTCTGTACAGTACACCAAATCACCATCTTGTTCAAAAAATTTTGAAAATTGTTGCTCTCTCTTTCTATACACATAAATGCTGGTTCCAGCACCCAACAAGTTCTTTTCTTTTAGTCTAGAGCCAAGCAATTCAGCTTTTTCTTTAGTTAAGCCTAGATCCCTAACCAAGTCATTAAGTTCAATCTGAGTAAACAATTTAGGCTCTACATTTTCTGTAATACATCGAAATTCTTCATCATCTTGTTCACCTAACTCAGATTCTACATCATAAGATGGTTCAGTTTGAATGGAATCCAAATCATCTGGAGGTTCAGGGACCGGCATATCTTGACCGTGTTTCACTGGTCGGATGGCAGACATAAGGTTAGGGTAGCTTATTACCTTCTTATTTTTTGAGTTGTGACCAGTTACATCAACACTACAAAAGTAACAATCATCAGAATGATTTCTTTGCTCTCTCCATATCATAGGAACTGCAAATTTGAAGGATTTTTTCTCCTTTTTTGACCATTTTCTTAGATCTTCAACACATACATAACATACCTTATGCGGCGCCCAAGATTTATCCTGATCGCCAAGTAAAGTTCCAAAGTATGATCGATAAACCTTTTTCACAAAGTCCGTAATGTTTCTTTGGTGTTTTTTAATCACAAACTCACCACAAATATAACAAAAACTGTCAACAGAGTTTTTACAACCGCGGTTAGACATTGTGTTGAGCACGTGTACAAAAACCGTGAAAGTGAGGTTAGATTGACAGTAAACAAACATCAGCTGTTAACGTTCAAATGGAATCTACCTTTTTTGATCTTTTAGTATGTTTCAGCAGTGCTACCAACACAATTTAAGTCCATTACCTCTACTTTTTTGATTATATTTAAACTATTATAGTATATGTTAAATTCTGTAGAAATCGCTTAATTAAAAAAATGTTACTACAAAATGTGAAGAAATTGTGGGTGATACAGCTTTGTAAGCATCATATTTGGATTCAGCGACCTGAAAGACATTAGAATAGGGTATTTTTAGTGAAAAAGTTTTTTCATCGTTGGCCTGTGTAATATTCACGTTGAAGATATTGTTTTTTCTGAGGTTAATAATTTTATTAATTAACCAAATGATTTAAATTCCGATTAGATTTCGATTTTATTATTAATGGCAACAAAAACTTGCCGTCTACTTCTCAACAATATAAACAAACTTTAAACACTTCCAATTGATTTAGCAATACTGATACGGGACAGTATTTCGTTTTTGGTCAACATGCTGATTTAAATTTAGGTCGTCTTCATTCTATGAAAATAGGAGAAAAATCAAGTTTTCTCGCGAAAAATATAACTGAAATAGTTAGTATTGGTAGGAATAGAATTAAAATTAAAGTAGATTCGAGACTGGTTGCATATAAGTTGGTAAAAGATTTTCTTTAAGCGCGAAGAATTCGAGCTTTACGCTAAGTGAAAATCAACTAAATACTATTAAATAAAATGTAATGGTTAAAAAAGTCCAAAGAATGACTAGACTAATACAAAAAGACGGTATATCGGAGAGAGTCTCAAGGCAGATGATTATTGTTACTTTTGCGGGCAAAATAATTCCCAATTTATCTACATTAATAAAGTTAAATGCCCGGTCGAGGTATTTATCAGTCCGGTCATGCAATGTTCCCAGTGTTTGCGTTATTGTCATTCGGCTACTTGATGTAAATAAAAAAAAAAGATGCAAAAGATGTGGGAGTGAACAAAATAAATATTGTCCTAAAAAAATGGTGGCTACGAGTCAATTTTCAGAGAATGTCCTGAATATCTTAAACAGAGGAAAATTAAAGAAACTATGACTAACTTTTGAACATTTTATTTAAGGAAGCTCAGAACATAACTGATAATTCAGGTTATTCCAGACTAGTTCAGAAGAATAGAGTTTCACCATTATTCAACTCTGACACGGGATTTCCCCCACTAAAATTTGATTCTGCTCAGGCACAATTCAATTCTGGCACAGTACATAAAAATAACAATATTCCCAAACGTAATACAACTCCGGCACTCAAAAAAAAAAGAAAAAATAGCGACACTACTATTTTCCCTCCTGCTCGTAGATAGTTCCAGACTAATTTTTGTGCGGGTCCTGTATTCCAATTTAGACAAACTGAATCCGTAGATAACGTCAATGCCATTGAATTTGAGAACAAAGTTAAATACGTTGTTAATATCGTTTTTACTTAAAATTCATGGCTATCAAAGGTATTAAAATTATTCAGTGGAATACTCGATCACTTAACGCTAACAAATATTCTTTACATCAGTTACTTCTTAAAGAGCATTTTGATTTAGCAGTTTTATCGGACATTTGGTCCAACCCTCAGATAATGTTTGTTTTAGTAATTTTAATATAGTAAGTAAAAGTAGAGCTAACGAGTATGGCGGAGTAGCAATACTTATATCTAATAATATCAGTGCAAGATTATGTCAATTTTTTTTCACAAATTAACTGACTGTATTATTTCTAGGGATTTTAATGGGCACGACGGACTATGAGGATTAAATGCATGTTCTTCAGAGGGCAATATATTAGTAGAAGCCTTGGATATTTATCTCATTTAATTACCGTAAATGATGGATCGGCTACTAGGCTACTCATCCAGGTTACGCCAAATCTGTTGTAGATCTTACCATTTTATCTTCCAATTTATGCTCAACTTTTATAAACTGTTATAAAATATACATATAATCCGATTACTTTCCTATTCGAATGTCTATCAATACTATTAAAAGAGAAAATACGAGGTTTTTATTTACAGGTAAGTGGTCGATGTCTAATGCTAACTGGGAGCAATTCATATTTACCATAGAGGAAGTGATCACATTGAAGCCAGTTATTATTAATACTAACGAGACGATTTTATTCTTACTAGATTCTATTGCAAATGCCGCGAACAAATCTTGCACACCAATTAAATAGTCAACTAAACCTGTAAAAGTTCCTCCGTGGTGGGATGAGGATTGCCTAGCTGCTTCAATTTTAAGCAAAAATTATTTTAAAAAGTTTGAATCTAATTCTTTTGAATTTTAATGAATATAAAAGAAACGAGGCTTTGTGTAAACGAACTTTCCGCTTAAAAGCTAAATCTAGCTGGGTACAGTATTGCTCTTCTCTTAATAGGCAAACTCCTTCATCAGACATTTGGAAAATGGTAAATAAAATTTAATCTCAGAAAAAAAAACATTAACGATGAATGAGCGGTAAAACAACTTTTATCTAAAATTGCTCCCGACTCTCTACCAATATAGTTCCCACTTCGAGGGAACTTACAGCAAACATTAAAATTTCAAAAATACATCTTCAGATATGAACGTTATAAACTATCTCATGTTAAAAAATCTTCTCGAAATTGCAATAGATTTTCTATGCAAAATATTTAACAACATTTTACTAAAAGGAGATAATTGTGATTCTCTTTTGCAATGTCTGGTCATTCCTATACCTAAAATAAACGATTGTACTTCTTTAAGACCTATTTCTCTGATGACATGTCTACTAAAAGCACTTAAACGGATCCTCAAAACTAGATTGGAGTGGTGGTGTGAAAACAGGTATATTCCGGGTAGCTCGGTTAGGCTTTCGGAGAAATAAAGAAACCATCGACTGCCTGTCGCAATTAACTACTAATATCCAATTGTCCTACTCAAATAATAATTATTTAGCAGTACTATTTCTAGATATTTCGGATGCATATGATAACGTTATTTTAAACTTACTTTTCTATAAACTAACACATATAGGTGTTCCAACTAGATGTGCACAGGTATTGGTTAATCTAATTGTTAATAGACAAGTATTCATTCCTGGGGTTGGGCCCTGAATGTAACGAATGAAAGTATGGATGCTTGTCAATCTCCTGATTCTTGTGATACTAATGTTTATAATATATTTTTAATTTACCTCTAGGCGAAGTATTATTTTGTTAATAAATGCAATAGGTCAATACATCATTACAAAGTCAAGTAGTCAAATAACATTATCGTGGCTGTATGGATCAAGTTATTCAAAGCCATTAATTAAATTATTAATAATAATATTAATAATTAATTAAAAAAAAAACTTGGTATTTTCTGACTAAGCTGGGTTTATAGCTCTGGGATATTAATAAAACAAACTAATAGTTTTCAGACGTTTCGGCAATTTACCATTTTCATATTTTTTTATGTTATGTTAATATTAAAAGTTAAAATTACAGTGAAAAAAAAAACAATAAAATACGAAACCTTAGATCATTAAAATAAACTAAATGGGTTCAGTTTCGTTTCTCTTAATTGTTAGAAGGTGTAATTAGGCGAAACATGCCACGACTAGTGTGGCTGAGTGATTTGTGTTGTCTGTTTTGTTATTAATATAGTTTCAAGTTTTTCATACGATTCATTTCTAATATATTCTTTTAAATAATGACAAAAATTTTAACCAAATTAATAAACGAGATGATATCACTTGAGAATGAACAACAAGGATTCCGAAGCGGAAAATCATGCACAGACGTACTATTTGATATAAGACAAATAACGCAAAATGCACTAGAATAAAATCGATATGTGTTCCTTTATTGGATTTACTTAAAAGACTTTGAAAGAGTAAGGCTTCTTCTACTTCTTCGTGCGACTAGGATTACTCCTGTTTGTCTGCCTCTTACTCTGTTTCAATCGTTGTTGACTGTACATTATCTTTCCACCTTTTTAGCGGCCTTCCAATGGGACTTTTGCTACACGGTTTGTTGTTTTTACAGATGTTCGCTAATCTATATGGTCCCATTCGGTTTACATGTACGTTCCAGTTTTTTTTTCTTATTTTTATCCACCTGTTAATATTTTGAATTTTGCATTGTTCGCGTATACTTCTGTTGGTTTGTCTGTCTCTTAATGATATGCCCGCTATTGATCTTAATACTATCATTTCGATATTGTTGATTTGTTGTTTCGTCTTTCTTGTATTACTGTTGTCTTGTATACTTTCATTTTGCTTTCCGTTGTCAGATATTTGTTTCTCCATAAGGTTTCTCGGATACACCGACTTACTCTTGCCGCTTTTAATGCTTGCCTTGTGGTCTCTGTTCTTATATCCCTGTCACTAGTGATCTCTACTCCTAGGTAATTGAATTTCATTACTTGTTCTACAATTTTGCCGTCTATTTCTAGTTTGCAACTACGCGGTTCTTTACTGATCACTATATATTTAGTTTTTTCTACTGATTGTCTCATATTAAATTTTTTTTACTATGATATTGAAGGTGTGGAGCTGCCTGTGTAGGTCATCTTCGTTATCAGCAATTATTACTGCATCATCGGCATAGTATCGTATCGTGATTTTATGCGCTCCCATGTGGTATCCGTGTCGTTTTCTTACTTCGTGAATTATTTGATTCATTACTATATTGAATAACAATGGACTGAGCGAGTCTCCTTGGCGGCTTCCTGCTTTTAGTTTTATGCATTCTGTTTCTCCTGTTGGCATTATAACTCTGGTCTTGTTGTTCTTGTTAATTTCATTAATTGTCCTTATTATCTGATGGTCTATTTGTTCAGCTTCTAATAAATTTAAGATATCATTTCCCTTCGTCCTGTCAAAAGGACTTTTTAAATCTACAAAGCACATGTATGCTGTTTTTCCATATTCAATAGACTTCTCTATTATTTGTCTGATAATAAAAATTGCGTCTATTGTGCTACGAGAGTAAGGCTGAAGGATGTTATTCACCTATTATAGTTTTATACAATAAATAAATATCATTAGATATCATTAAAAAATCGAAGACATATATAAGGAAAATAAAATATAGCCCAGAATAGATGGGCAACGGACAGAGGAAATGGTACATATGTGGGTTGTAATTAATTTCCAAAATTCTTACCGGTTTCTTGAGGTCCTGCTCAGAAATAGAACCAGCAGAAGCAGTTCTCACGTGCATTCTTCTATACGCACAAGTAAAATTCCAGTCTATTGGCCTACCTTGATTGTAGGTTTGAAGCTGGAGCAGTTCTATTAAACCGCACAGTCTTACAGCAATTACTTTGGCACCTACTATCTTCAGATGATTTATACCAGATTCCACACCGTCTTCAAAGATACACTGCAACATACATACATAATAATCTCAAATGTGTAGTTTTAAAATTATTAATATATATATATATATATATATATATATATATATATATATATATATATATATATATATATATATATATATATAATAAAGAGTCATGTAAACTGCTGGTTATACTTATGTCTGAAAACAATTGGATGTGAAATCTGAAGATTTGCATTTCCTTTAACTGTCCGACCTACACGTCAAAAATTTCTACAGATCTTTGTCAGTTTTTTGTAATTTTTAATGGAACAGCCATTATTGTATTTTTAAATATTATTTTTAAAAGTTATTTTGTTAGATATTATCATATTTATGATAGGGCGACGGATAGGAACAACGATAGGAAAAAGCACGATGAAAAGGTAAACAAGGATGAAAATAGGAAGAAGATGAAAGATATACCGCAGAAAAAAGGAGAGATAAAAATGGGAACATGGAACGTAAGAAGCATCAATGGAAAAGAGGTAGAACTTGTAGAAGATATGATCAGACCAAAAATAGAAATATTAGGAATAACGGAAACGAAAATGAAAGGAAGTTACACAAAGGATATTGGTTATTTTGGGTAGGAGCTGATGCAAAGGAGAGAGCAAAAAATGCGTAGGGATAATAATTGCACCGAATAGACTACAATACGTTATAGAAGAAACATATGTTAACCAGAGAATATTATCGCTGAAAATGAAACTAATAGACAAGGAAATATGGACAATAATAACAGCCTACGGAGAAAATGAACATGCAAAAAAGGAAGAGAAGGATACATTTTTCAAGGAGCTCCAAATGTAAATTGACAATGGGGAAGAAAATATAATTGTAATGAGAGATCTAAACGGTAGAGTCGGAAATAATAACAATGGAATTGAGGAATGCATGGGAAAAGAAGGAGACGAAATACTAAACAAAAATGGTGAAATAATAATAGAAATATGTATGGAGAATAAACTTGTTATAACAAACACAAAATTTAAACAAAAAAGTACACAAATACACGAGAATACAAGAAAGCAGAAATGAAAAATCAATCATAGATACTTTTTGGTAAGTAGCAACAAATGGAAAAGAGTACAAGACACGAAAGTGAAAAGAGGCTCAGAGATTGGCAGTGATCATCATCTAGTAATAATGAGAATGAGAACAGCAAAAGAAAAGGAAGAAAAGAGGAGAAAGGTAGTAAATGAAAAAGTAAGAAGCTACAAATTAAAAGAAGAAAGATATAAGAAGATATTCCAAGAAAAATTAGGCAATATTTTGAAAGGTAGGGCAAAAACTGAAAGTATAGAAGAAAAGTGGGAAAATCTCAAAACAAACTTAATCATAGCTGCTGAGGAAACTTGCGGGAAGACAAATACTAGCATGAGGAGAACTGAATGGTGAACGGACGAAATACGAAGGAAAATAAAGAACAAAAAAAAATGGAAGAGATATTTAAGTACAAAGCGCCCTGAAGATTATGAGGCATATAAAGAAAAAAGAAAAGAGGTTAAAATAGCTGTGAAAGCAAAAAAAGAAAGGTCATGGGAAAAGTTTGGACTAAAAATGACAAATAATTATTGGGAAAATCAAAAACTCTTCTATGGCGCATTAAAACAGCTCAGACAAAAGAAAAAGCACATTATGCCGAAAGGTAATAACAGAAGAAAACCAAATAATGGAAAGATGGGGAGAACATTTCAAAGAGCTAACTCAAACTCATACAGACGTAGGCAACATAGTGGAGATACAAGAAATAAATGAAGAACAAAAAGTAGAACCCATAACAACAGAGGAGCTAGAAAAGGCAATTGAAAGAGTTAAATTAGGCAAAGCACCAGGCAAGGATCAGATCACCCCGGAAATGATAAAATTCATGGGAAGACAGGTAGTGGACAGCATGAAAGAACTAATGAATGATATAAAAAGAGCAGAAATGCCACAGGTCTGGAAGAAAGACATTATATCGTTGGTCTAGCGCACAGAGGTGCTAAGTGAAAAATCGCTAAGTCGACTAATTGCGAAAACAAAGTTTATAACATAATATAAAGTCAAATAAGTATTGTTTTCAGCGATTTATTTGTTTTTGGTAAACTATACATAATTGTTTGATAATGCGATTTAAAAAAATTGAAATAAATATCATAGTTGCTTTAGAAAAAACATATTTTCAAAACAAAAGTTTCACTTAACTCATATGTGTTACTAGTTAATTTAATTCACTAAATAAGAAGACATTAGACTTAAGACCATTTTAATATTAAAATATTATAAATTCTCAAACAAAACCTCTTTAAAAATAATTGTATTGAAGATTAGTCTATCTCCTTGCGTACTGCTAACTGTGTTGAATCCGATGTCGATGGAAGACTTATAATGAAATCTCTGTATTCTTCGGAAATAATTTTTTTATTGAGTGAATAAAGAAGGTCTTTCTTCTTTTTATCAGAAAATGGAATGCGACTGGAATATTTAGATTTTAGCTGTATAGAAGTCCAGTTCTTTTTTCGGCCGAATCGTTGTCTGCTTTGTGTAATATCAAGTTGAAAGAAAATTTCTGATAATAGATCGTACTTATATTGAATTGTGAATGCCTTTTCTTTCTGAAATCGCAAACTATTTGATTTTAAGCCATTCAACGTTGTCCCCAACACAATTTACAGTACTGTTTGAGTTCTTTAAATGAATAACTTGGTATGCTCTAGGTTTCATCCTAGCAGCTGAAATCAATAGACACCACTCCCGAGTGTTTAAATTTGTTTATGTGCCCGAGCCCTCCCGACTGTAGAGTGCATTGAATCCGCTTCCAGGTACGAATGACCTGATTCCATAAATTTTAAGTCAATGATTTGAAGATTATCATTTGTATTGACGGCATAGAGCATCGCTGTGGCAACGTTTTTATTTCTGTTTTGACCTCCGCATGTGTCAAAAAAGGAAGCTATGTGGCTTACAGTTTTGAGTAGGTCTAGTAAATATTTAAGTAGATATGACCCAATCTCAGAACTACCTTTGCTACCATGAATTTCATCCCAAACATAGCAATAACCGTCTCGAGTAGATCCATCATAAATTGTAAAATTGTAAACATTTAGATGGCTCTTGTAATATATCTGAGAATCATCAGCAAACGGAACGGATAGAATAGTTTCCAGATCGAATGTTATTGCTCTAAATGTATTTCCCAACGTGGCTACTGCCGTTTTTTTATCGTCTTCTTTCATATCCATCTACTGTTTTTCGTCTTTTTTATGCTTTTCATACTCTTCTCTTAAGGGGTCTTTTTCTTTGGCCTTTGGGGTAAAGCCAGAATGCATTACACACCAAACACTGATCCTTTTTTGGACGATAAAAGGCAAGAGTTGGTTCAAAATTATGAAAAATACTTTGGTACACAAACTTTGAGAGCGGACTTAAACTATTAGAAGTGCAAAAGTCTTGATATAATTGGTACATGATGGAAATGTTCAAATCTCCATTTAGATAGTTTTTAGATGAATCACGCCTGCAGTAATGCGACTCAATTCTTGGAAATGAGTTAATATGATCCTTAACTTGCTGCCGTTGTATCTCAGCAGTTGTATTGTGGGGTTTGCTATTCTGTCTTTTATCATAGCCGACAAAAATTCCCTTATTCATCATTCCTTCAATACACTTCTCAACGACTTTTTTTTACCACTAATTCTTAGCTCTTTTACAATTGATCGTTTCCATTCCTTTTTATTGGCTTTTCTGCGGCGACGTTTTTTTGGTATTTCATTCGGTTCCTCATCTTTTGGCTTATTTTATCAACATTTTCAGATTCAGTGCTTTCTTCTGACGGATGATAAGAACTTCCCAATGAAGCATAGAGATTATATTCATCAATATCACTACTATTATATGAGTCAAGTTCTTGAATCTGGTGATTAATATTTTGATCACACAAATTTTCGCTTGTTTCATCAGTTTCCTGTACTTGATTTAGAATAATAGTTTCTGTTATATCAGTACAATTATTTTCTAACACTTTTCATAAAATAAATAAAAATTTTGCAACTATCACTGTTAAATAACCTCAAATTTAAAAGAAGCATGTGTTCACTTCACTCATTTGTAATTATTACACGAGAAACACAAAGGTACTAAGTGCTCTTCCCACCTTTGTGCTAGATTCCTACAATTTATTAGTACTTACCACTTTCGTTAGATGACGATAGCTAATTTAAAATTATAATTATCAGTTAACTCGAGTGTGCATGTGAAACTCCTTGCTAGTCTTCATTTCGGAATGCATTTAACTCATTTTGCCCAAAAAGTCACTTAACACCTGTGTGCGCTAGACCGACGATATGTACTACCAATACACAAAAAGCGACAAGAGAAACTGTCATAATTACCGAGGTATTACTATATCAAGTAATCCTGGGAAGTTATTCGCAAGAATAATAGAAACAGGAATAAAAACCCAAATAGAACCAACTATAGAAGATACACAATGTGGATTCAGGAAGGACAGAAGCACGCAAGACCACATATTCACAATAAGACAAGTAAGTGAGAAAGTAATCAATAAAAATAGACAAATACATATATGCTTTATTGATCTGGAAAAGGCATTTGACAAAATCCAAAGAAAGGACGTATGGAGGACATTAAAAGAAAGAGGAGTTAACAGGATAACAATTGATGTAATAAAGGATATGTACAATAACAATACAAATACGGTGAGAACTAATAACGAGGAATCCGAAGAATTTACTACAAGTCAAGGCGTTAAACAGAGATGCGTGTTGAGCCCACTGCTGTTCTCAGTGGTACTGGATGAAGCAATAAAGAAAGAAAAGAGAAGAATGAGAAAACTAACATTAGGATACTGGCAAATGAAACAGACTCAACTATCAGAGTTTCTATTTGCAGACGACATGGTTTTGATAGCAGAAAACAGAGAAGACCTCCAGAACAACCTTGAAATCCTAGAAGAAGAACTGTCAAACATAAATATGAAGATAAATACAGAGAAAACA